TGTGACTGGCAGGATGGCGGAAGGTGAGCTGGATGGACTTGGTCTTCAGATAAATTCAATACAGATAAATTCAAGCAAGTAAAAATAGGAGGAACATATACTCCACGGATGGGATGGAACTTGGCAAGGGGGAAGCTGACATTAGAGGTAACACTCACCAAGTCAAAATAGTATGATGGAGCAATAAAGAAGGCAAACAGGCTATATTGCCAAATCAGTTGAGTTTAGTTCCCCAGAAATTCTACTCTAACCATATTCTGTTCTGGTCAGGTCACATGTACTATGGACAGTTCTGGTTGTCACAGGATAAAAGGGCTGGAAGAGAGCAATAAGGATGATCCCTATTTTTAGAATATGAGCTATGAGCAATGATCAAGGATGCACACTCCACCTCACTGAGCCAGTCCGGTATCTTGGTGTCATGTTTGACTCTCAACTATCCTTTCTACACATTTGTGCCATTCTGCCTTACCCACCTCCGCAACATCACCCAGCTCTGCCACTGTTTCACACCGCAGGCCGCTGAAACCCTCCTACATACATTCATAACATCCAGGCATGACTTTGTAAACTTCCTGCTTGTTGGCCTTCCCAACTCCTCCCTCGATAGGCTGCAGAACATCCAGAACTCTGCAGCCTGTGTCCTCTTCCGCATCAGGCTCCGCGACCCTATCCACTCCACTGGCTTCCCATCACACCGAGGAACAGTTCAAGATTCTGATCCTCATCTCCAAAGCCGCCATCTCCTTGCGTCCTCCCTTACCGCTGCGACCTCCTAATTTCCTACCAATCTACCCATTCCCTCCGCTTAATGTAATTTTGTTGTTGTTGATCACACAAGTTAAGGACTTCCATTTGGAAAGAGACATCTCAGAGAGGACGCTATAGTATATAAATCGGTTTGAGAAAACAAAGATGAACAATACACTAAAACCTCAGCTAGCCAGACCAATGATTGTGGGAGAAGATAATATACTACTACTAATGATAATAATCTTTGCATTTGATAGAGCACCTTTTCATATCGTTGAGACATCTAAAAGCACTTCACAGAATATACTGTAGTGTGTAAAGTGGAGTCCTGTAGCTCAGTGGTTAAAGCACTTGCCTGGCCTGAGTTTGATTCTCAGCAGAGCGAAACCTTGGACAAGTTTCCTTACTCCACATGCCTGATAATAATCCCTCAAGCAAAAAAACAAATACATTTGTCACTTTCATCCACAATTGTTTGTGGGACACTGCTGTGCGCAATTGGCTGCCGCGTTTTGCCCACAAATATACAGTCAATTCATTTTACAGTGAAAAACACTATATCAAATGCAAAGTTTATTATTATTATTTTCACACAGTCTATTCTTCAGCAGCGCTTACCTGCAGCTTGGATTCTTCTACTTTTGTTTATGTTTTCCTAATGTTGCTCAACTGACTTGAAAATACGACTTCTGTTAACTTGCAAATGCTTCAAATAAGAGTCACTTCTTGGATCAAACTGAACTCAGTCAAGATTTTGTATCCCATTCTTATCCAATATTTGTACCTTATGTACAAGGTACAAATATTGGATAATATTTGAGAGAATCGCCCTCTGAATGGCCTCTATACAACAACAACAAATTACACTTGTATAGCACCTTTCACATTGGTAGGCCCTGGACAGTCGGGGATTTTTTTACACTCAAACTGTGGTCTTGGATCAGTAGGGCTGGAGGTGTGGAGGAAGTCCTTAAGACCGGCCTTGAAAGAGACAAGGTAAGAGGCAAGATGTAGGGATTGTGGGACAGAGTTTGAAAGGTGGGGGCAGAGAGGCTGAAGGCCAGACTGCTAATGGTGGGCAGGGCAAGGGACACGGAGCAGTCCGAAGCCCACTGAGCAGAGGAAGCCCCAGGTCTCGAGTGCACTAGAAGAAGTGGACCGGCGGGAGGTTTTTTTCAAATTTCCAGACCCGATCAAGCTAATACAATATATTCTGTGACGTGTTTGAGATGACTCAATAAGGCGTTAAATCAAACCTTCCAGGGTTACCTAATTTACAATGAACTTACTGTGGAAGGAAGCATGTGTGAAGTATCATCACAAGTGGGAATATGATAATAATAATCCTTGCATTTGATATAGCGCTACATCATATCTTCTAGACATCTCAAAGCACTCCACAGGATACACCGTGGAGACCTGGAGGTCGGTGGTGAGAGGGCTCGCTTTGCAAGCAAGAGGCCTGGGTTCGGTGAAATCGGAGGGTGAAACCTTGGGCAAGTTTACGTACTCCAAATGCCGATAATAATCCGTCAAGGAAAAAAAAAAACAATAAATTGGTCATTTCAATCTACGACTGTTTGTGGGACACTGCCGTGCGCAATTCACTGCCACATTTCGCCCACAAATATACAGTCAATTTGCTTTAGTCTATTCTGTGAAGCACTTTGAGACGTCTAAAAGCGCTCTATCAAATGCAAGGATTACTATTATTATTATTATACCGTAAAGTGAATTGACTGTACATTTTGTGGGGAAGGAAGACACGTGGACAAAACTTGATGGATTTACAAATTTGGTCCATTTTAATCTGACCCCCACCAGCCCCCACCCCTCGCTCACCCCGATTGTGGCTGTGCTGTAGTTTTGCTGTAGCTGTGGCTGTAGTTGTGCTGTAGTTGTGCTGTGGCTGTGCTGTAGTTGTGCTGTAGTTGTGCTGTAGCTGTGGCTGTAGTTGTGGCTGTGCTGTAGTTGTGCTGTGAATGTGCTGTAGTTGTGCTGTGGCTGTAGTTGTGCTGTAGCTGTGGCTGTAGTTGTGCTGTAGCTGTGCAGTGGCTGTGCCGCTTACCCTGAGGCGCCAGGAGGAGCAGGAGAGCGGCTGTGAGCAACATTCCCGCTGCCTGACTCCAGGGCGAGGGACAAGTCACAAGATGGCGCCCAACGGCAACTCCGCCCTTTTAACGGCCACAGTTCAAAACGAAAGACAAACAAAGCGGCGACTGGCGCCGCTGTCCGGCTCTCTGGCCCCCGCCCCGCCCCGCCCCGCCCGGGGGCCGCTCGCTCGGTAACGCCGACTCCGCCCGTTCCGCCGCCTTCAGTTCGGCTCCGAAGCCGCTTCTCCTTCGCCTCTGACAACGGTGTCAGTTTGTCCGCCTCCCGTCCCCCTCCGCGCTCACTCACTCACTGCGCAGGCGCCGCACCGCCCGTCCCCCGCGCTCACTCACTGCGCAGGCGCCGCACCGCCCGTCCCCGCGCTCACTCACTGCGCAGGCGCCGCACCGCCCGTCCCCCCGCGCTCACTCACTGCGCAGGCGCCGCACCGCCCGTCCCCGCGCTCAGTCACTGCGCAGGCGCCGCACCTCCCTGACACTGAGTGTCACACACTCTGACCCAGACAGTGAGTGAGTGTCACACACTCTGACCCAGACAGTGAGTGAGTGTCACACACTCTGATCCAGACAGTGAGTGAGTGTCACACACTCTGACCCAGACAGTGAGTGAGTGTCACACACTCTGACCCAGACAGTGAGTGTCACACACTCTGACCCAAACACTGAGTGTCACACACTCTGACCCAGACAGTGAGTGAGTGTCACACACTCTGACCCAGACACTGAGTGTCACACACTCTGACCCAGACACTGAGTGTCACACACTCTGACCCAGACACTGAGTGTCACACACTCTGACCCAGACACTGAGTGTCACACACTCTGACCCAGACACTGAGTGTCACACACTCTGACCCAGACACTGAGTGTCACACACTCTGACCCAGACAGTGAGTGAGTGTCACACACTCTGACCCAGACAGTGAGTGAGTGTCACACACTCTGACCCAGACAGTGAGTGAGTGTCACACACTCTGACCCATACAGTGAGTGAGTGTCACACACTCTGACCCAGACAGTGAGTGAGGCTGGTGATCAGTGTGAGAGCGTCTCCCACACTCTTGTTTTGACCCTCTTCCTTGTCCCCGAACACTCTGCCCCATCATCGGCGGCTGTGGTTTTAGCCACTGCGTCACGAAGCTGTGGAACTGTCATCCTCAAAGCCTCCACCTTGCCCCCTCTTTCCCGTGTTCAGATCACACTTGAAGACCCTCCTGATCTGCCCCCCCCCCCCCCCCCGCTCCCTGACTTGGCATCGGGCTCCACCACTGTTAAGCCGTCCGTCCGGCATGAGAGACTCTAAATGTGGGTGAACTTTTTGTCCTTTGCAGAATTTGGAAGGATAGACCACTCTTGCTTCTATTTACACTACAACAACAACAACAAGATACCATTTATTGAGCGCCTTTCAAATACACCAGATCCATAGGTCTCATCAGGAGACATCCCAGGCGCTGACAGTTGGGTCAGACCGAGCAGGGGGAAGGAGGGGAGGGAGGGGGGAGCAGGGGGGAAATGGTCAGGGGAGGGGGGAGGGAGGGGAAAGGTCAGGGGGGGGGAAGGGGGAGCGAGGAGGGAAGGAGTCGAGAGGGAGCGAAGGCCGTCAGGAGGTGGAGGGGGAGGGGGAGCGCGAGCAGGGGGGGGGGGGGGGGGGGGGGGGGGGGGGGGGGGGGGGGGGGGGGGGGGGGGGGGGGGGGGGGGGGGGGGGGGGGGGGGGGGGGGAAAGGGGGGGGGGGGGGGGAGGGAAGGGAGGGAGCGAGGAGGGGGTAGAGAGTCGAGAGGGGAGCTGAAGGCACTAGAAGTCAAACCTGAATTGTAGGGTAGTCCCAGCTGGACATGCAGCTCGGAGTTTGTTGGACAAGGAACGATTTTAGGAACCAGGCAGGAAGATTAAGGGGCAGGTTTTTATTTTCAGACATGACATTCAAATATATAATAATCCTTTATTATGTCTATAATCTATAGTATAGAGCCTTATGAAATCTCAGTGATGTGATGAAGTGCTCTGTGTATAATAATCCTTGCTTTTGACAAGGTGCCTTATCACCTCATCGAAACAGCTCAAAGCGCTTCACAGAATATATTGTATAGTGCAGTGACTCTGTATTTGTGGGAAAAATGCGGTTTCTTATTTAGTTTATTTTTTATTTCTTTAGTTTTTATTTGTTTATTTGCTTTGAAAATCAAACATAAGGTTTATTAGTGTTATTGGGTACCATATAGTTTTCAAATCCTATATTTAGCATTGAATACATTTTCCCCTTGTTAAAAAAACAAATGGCATTTGGTAAAAGACTTTAGATTGTATGTCCACACATGAACAAAACAAAACGTTGAACACTTTCAAACAACAAAAACAGAAACTTGCATTTATATAGCACCTTCACGCAGGGTAGCATCCCAGAGTGCTTGGATTTTGCTACAACTAAGATAAATTTATACACGCGCACACATTTATATTACATAGTGGAGTCCTCTTTAGCTGGATGCCAGTTATCCCCGGACGCTGCATAGAATGCCCAGCCCTGATTCATTACCTGTTTTAAAACCCCCCCCCGTTAATGCAGATGTTAATTCAGGCAAAATAACGCGCTGGTCGCTGGTTACTGTTGAATATACTCACTCGGGCTTTCATTGTTCTCAAGTGGCTCCATTCAGCCACAAGCAGCTCCAAGATAGAGATGAGAGGAGTTACATTGTGATTGACAATGAACCCAGACAGTGAGTGAGTGTCGTACACTCTGACCCTGACAGTGAGTATCATATACTCTGACCCAGACGTGAGTGTCCCACACTCTGACCCAGACAGCGAGTGAGTGTCCCACACTCTGACCCAGACAGCGAGTGAGTGAGTGTCCCACATTCTGACCCAGACAGTGAGTGTCCCAATGAGATGACACCTTTTGGAGCCGGCAATAATTAGTCGCCTTCCCGTCCAACGGTAATGGCAATGGAGGGAAGAGGCACTCAGCAGAGGAGATGGTGGGAAGAGAAGAAAAAGGTTAAGAACCTTGGTTACCGGACACCGGGTAAATCAGACAAGGCTCCCTGCCCCATGTATCTGGCTAAAGCGGATTCTGCTGTACATAGGCATTTTTTCGGTTCTTTGTATCATTAATCCCCAAAGAGCAGTCTTCCATTTGCATTTGCTGCATTTCCTGCTTGGAGATGAATGATCCAATTCCCACTTCTTAGGTGGCGATACCATTTTCATGTTTAGTAGGTCTTGCTATCAGCTGTGGCTATCTGTTGCTCACCTCTCCACACAACCAAAGTAATATTCGTAATTGAAGCCTAGAAAAGCAGTCTAATTTGAGAAGTTCAATCTGATAAATATTTTTCTGATTCCATTTCTGCTCACTCACAACAACAACTTGTACTTATACAGCACCCTCCAGGCAGGGTAGCGTCTCAGAGCGCTTAACAGTGACGGAGCCTGACTACGAGTCAGGGAGGGGGCGAGGTGGCGATAAGTACGGTTGAAGAGGAAGATTTTCAGGTGAGACTTGAAACAGGGAAGACAGAAGGCAAGGTGGATGGATTGAGGGAGTGTTCCAGAGTTTCGGGGTGCAGTGGTCGAAAGCACAACCTCCAATGGTGGGTCAGAGGATGCGAGCGACCGCTGCAAGGGAGAGTGAAGGGATTTGAACACGATGTTAGGATCTTGAAGTTGATCCATTCAGTAATTGGGAGCCAATGGAGCCTGGCCAAAACTGGCGAGATGTGGGTACGGAGTTTGGTTCAGGTAAGTGTGCGGGCAGCAGAGTTCTGAATGAGCTGGATCTTTTGAATAGTGGAGCTCAGGAGACCGGAGAGGAGTGCATTTGAGTAATTCAGGTGGGAGGTGAAACGCATGCACAAGGGTTTTGCAGCATTTGGGGTAAGGTGCGACCGCAAGGGAGGTCGTGAAGGGTGGAAGAACGCGGTCCTAACACTTGCCCAACATTTTGCCCAACATTTTGCCCTGCAGGGAATCGAGCAAGTGCTCTAACTACTAAGCTATAGGATCCCACACATTGTCAAAATAAACAAAATTAAATGACTTCCACCTTCAAAATGAAAACTTGTTTTGCATTTTGGAGATCTTTACTTAAATGGCCACTCAATGAATACAAAAACAGATTTTCATCTTAAAATTGTTCAAGCTAGCCATAACATTGATGAGATCTTTAATTAATAGCCGTATCCTCTTCCTAAAAGTGAAAATTGCTTTGTATATTTTACCTTCAGAATAAGTCGTGCTACTAAAACCACAGGGATGTTCATTTTCTGAAGTGTTTGATGGGATGCTGCCATTCCTGCACTGCAAATCAAATCACAAGCATTCAAAATAAAGTTCTGTTCCAACAGTTCACTGAAAAGTTTGTTATTTGAACTGTTATAAAGGTTTAAGGGATTATAGGGATTATTAGGGCCAAGCATTAATTAATGACACCACTTGAAAAGAGAATAGGGTTTCTAGTGGGCAGGACAGGCAAGGTGGAGGGATCGGAGAGTGTTCCAAAGCTTCATGGTGTAGTGGCTGAAAGTATAGCCACTGATAGTGGAGCGAAGGCGACAAGGGACGAGCAGGAAGCCAGAGCCAACTGAAGAAAAAGTGGGTAGTGGAGTGGGGGGGAAAGAGGGTAAGAAAGGGGGCAAGATACTAGGGCATGAAGGGATTTGTAGACGAGTATGAGGATCTTGAAATCAATCCATTCTTTACTAGGGGAGCAGTGGAACACGGTGAGGACTGGTGTGATGGGGGTATGGAGCGTGGGTGGGTATATGGGCAGCAGAGTTTGTGGGTAGTGGAGCTGGGGGAACTGATAAAAACTAATTTCCCACAGATATAGTCGAGAAACGATTGTGTTCATATACAGTTTCTATTTCTGTGAAATATCAAGGTGGAAATTTGTTTATAATGATTATTACTTACTCCATTTCACAACTATCGTACAGAGTATTCCTACAGCAACCAAGAAGACAACGATTGCGATAGTAGCGACAACTGCCAGTGTAGAGAATGGGACCTTACACATATTCACTGCAGACAGAAACACAAGTCTGAATTACAAATTACATAAAGGATCACATGACGTTTCGCCCCCAAAATACACAGTCAATCTACTTTATAATAAATTCTATGCAGCGCTTTGAGATGTCTCAAATATGTAATAAGGCGCTATATCAAATGCAAGGATTACTATTATTTTAAGCAAGAAGGTGCCAGTGAAGGTGCCACTTGCACTTGAGTGTGAAGAAATTGAGATCTTGAGAAAGATAATTCTGAGACAGAAACCAGTGGAGTCTGGTGAAAACCGGGATGATGAACATGTGGAACTTCATGTGGGTGAGGCATTAGGTAGTGGAGGTTTGTATAACATGTGCTAAAAAACAAAAGGTAAAATACTGCAGATGCTGGAAATCTGAAATAAGAACAGAAGTCTCTGGGCACACTCAGCAGGTCAGCCAGCATCTATGGAGAGAGGAAAGTGGGTTAACATTTCAGGTTATCAGAATATACTAGGGCATGAATGGATTTGTGGACAAGTGAGAGAATCTTGAAATCGATCAACTGGAAGGGAGCCGCTTACAATAATAATCCTTGTTTGTTTACATAGCGCCTTATCAAGTCTTAACGATGTCTCAAAGTGCCTCACAGAACATACTGTAAAGTGAATTCACTGCATATTTTGTGGGCAAAATGCGGCAGCCAATTGCGCACGGTAGTGTCCCACAAATAGTCATGGATTGAGTGACCAATTTTTTTTTAAGAAATTGTAACCTCCAGAAGCAATCCGCCAATCGACTAACAAACGGGTTCCTACTTACTGCTATATAAACAGAGACAAACAGGAGGAGGTGGGGAAAGAAAAAGGAAGAAATTAGGTGGAGAAACACGATCAGGAGATGACGAGATCATAGGTGTTCATGGTGAAAAACAAAAGGCAATAGTGGAAAATATAGAAAGAAAGTGTGCACCTGAGACCCAGATGTGCCAAGTTCAATGTTTTTCACTTATTTCAAAATACTCACTGTTTTGTTTTGCTTTATAAATCGGGATAAATGAAATGAACACAGCAATTACTTCATATACTAGAATGGTATTACGATGATCTGTGATGAATAAAATTTGAATAACCATAAGAGAGAAAATGGGGAATGGCGAACAAGGGGGCATCACCTTAAAATTAGAGCTAGGCCGTTCAGAAAGCATTTTTTCAAGCAAACAGTAGTGGAAATCTGGAACTCCCCCAAAATGCTGTGGATGCGGGATGTATTCAATTTTTCAAGACTAGGGCAGACAGATTTTTGCTAGGTTGGGGTATCAAAAGCAAGGTATTTGGAGTTGATCTACAGAATGATCGAATAGAGTGGTGAACAGGCTCGAGGGCCTCAGTGGCCTCCTGCTGTTCCTATGTTCCAATTACATGCTATGCATGCAAGTCGGTATCTTGGTTTCTATCACTCCAAATAGTTCTTTGTGCCCAAGTTATACAACCTTTGTCAAATACAACTGCTCATCATACGTAGTTGGATTTTGTGATGGTCAGCCGGGTGTCTGACACATGCGGAAACCCATCACCATGCTCAAGAGTCTCCAGACCAAGCTGAGATTTCCATGAATCCCACACACGTGGAGATCCCAGAGTTAGATTGTTGGAGTGGAATGTGCACTCTTTCCCTGGAGGGGCGCATGCTGCTTACCTAATCCTGGAAAGTATTAGGCTATTAGGTGCAGGTTGGCAAGAGCCAAGGCTTGAGGACCCGAGTGTGCACTGGAGTCTAACCATCTAAATCTGCATTGCTTGCCATTGATATTGCTATCTGGCAAGCTTTCCTGATGCTTGTCCTGCTAAGACCACCCCACTCATTGGCTAAAGGGTTGACAGGAGCAGAGTAGAAGGATTCCCTACCCCCAGTGACAGGTCTGCCCTTCCAAATCCTGCTGATAAGGATTTGGGCTCTGCTGTCATCACCAGTGCCTTGGAATACTGTGAACCTGTTCAGTTCCTGAGATATAGTTGGAGAGCATATAAATCTGCATTAAAATTCCCCTTTTGAGAAAACATCACCAATAGGGAGGAGTAAACAGTGAGAACAAACTATGGTAAATCTGAGAGATAAATCTAAGGAATAGATTTCCTGGGCAGACGGTGGAAGCAGAAAGTGTCAATTCATCAAATGCAAATTCAATAGATTTCTTTCAGAAGATAATATTTGGGGATACGGTATAGGAGTAATTTGAGACATGACAAGTATAATAAGCTTAGAAGAACCAGACAACTTTGGATCTGAGGTTCCCAGAGCTTCCCGCTGAGATGGTGGACTAATCCATACAGAATTAATTGCTATCAACATCTCCATTATTGTGGTATGCGACTACTAGAAGGCAGACTAGATGGACCTTGTTCTGTTTTCATCTCGCAACCCCTCCACCCTTTCGTCCCCATTTTCAAATCCCAACTAAAGACCTTTGTTTTTGATCGTGCTCATGGTCACCTCTTCACTCCTACTCCCCTCGGCTCATTGTCAGACGCCGCCGCGAAGTGCTCTGGGATGAAGGACACTGTCCAAATGAAAGCAGTTGTATGTTTCCATGTTGATATTCAAGTATGAAAATAACTTACGCTTAGTTAACAAAAATGACCGATTTAGCTCATTTTCAGGGCGCAGGTAAATGAAAGTAATGTAGCAAATCATTATTATGACAGCAACAAATGTAAATCCTGAAAGAACTCTGTATCCTACAGCAAATCCTAGGAAAGAAAAAAATAAAGTTTAGAGTGAAATGGAGAGAATGCAAAAATATATGTTCTGAATATGTAACACATAATCAATTCCTATTTGCCAGGATAAAGTTTATTTCAATTTAATTCAAAGTTTATTTCTGGTCATTTTACTACAGTGGAGTCCTGCAGTGCAGTGATTAGAGCCTTGCAAACAAAAGGACCTGGGTTTGATTCCCAGGCGTGGTGAAACCTATGGCACCATTCCTTACTCCATATGCCTCTGTTTATCTAAGGAGAAATATACTAGGAGTGAAAACTTGGCACCTGACAAAGAGTCATGCAAATAATAATAATCCTTGCATTTGATATAGTGCCTTATCACATGATATTGCGCCTTATCACTCTACTCATATGTAGAGTAATGAAACTTTCCCAACATTTCACCCTGCTGGGAATCAAACCAAGGTCTCTCACTTGCGAGGCGAATGCTCTAGCCACTGAGCTACAGGACTCCTGTATGTAATGACTGTTGAAATTTAAACAAGGAAAACAAAAAAAACTTACCTATGTCTAATACACCCAAAATAGATGCAGTTAACATGCAAACCAAGGCGAGCATTTGAAAGAATACACCAATAGCAGTGAGTTGCACGTGGCGTTTGTAAACTATGAAAAAAATAGATGAGTGAAACTACTTTATGAGAAAATCAGATTATTATGTTTCAAATTATGACCTACCTAAAGGCTTAAAATTCAAACACTTAAATAGTCTATGAACTTGTAATATCTTCTCAGAAAAAACATCCATTACCTCTAAATTCCAACAAGGCAAAGAAGATTAAGTACACCGATGAACCCAAGGATGTTACATTGCTGACCAGTGCAATGATATAGGCAATGAAAGTATGTTTGTGAGCAAACAGAATCCCTAAAAGAGTAAACACATGTGAATTTAGCTTAGTTTTAACAAATGTGTTGAATACTACAGTATATTACAGATAGGTATATCATACATAGAATCATAGAATTATAAAGCACAGAAGTAGGCCATTCGTCCCATCGTGTCTGTGCTGGCTCTTTTAAAAGAGTTATCCAAATCAATCCCACTCACCTGCGCTCTCCCTATACCGCTGGAAACTTGTCCAAATAATTATCTACTCTCTTAAAAATTGTTATTGAATCGGCTTCCACCACTCTTTCAGGCAATGCATTCCATATCAGAACAACTTGCTGTGTGAAAAAATTTCTGCTCACCTCCGCTCTGTTTCTTTTAACAATTACTTAAAATCGCTGTCCTCGGATTAGTGACCCACCCACCAGTGAAAATAGTTTCTCCTTTTTCACCCTATCAAATCCCTCATAATTTTGAAAATTTCTATTAAGTCTCCTCTTAACCTTCTCTGCTCCAACGAGAATAACCCAGGCTTCTCAAGCCTCTCCTGTTAACTGAAGTCCCTCATTCCTGTTACCATCCTGGTAAATCTTCTTTACACCCTCTCCAATGCCTTTACATCCTTCCTAAAGTGTGGTGCCTGGAACTAAACACTAGTTGAGGCCTAACCAGTGTTTTATAAAGGTTCATCATAACTTCCTGACTTTTGAATTCTATGCCCCTATCTATAAAGCCTCGTATCTTGTATGCTTTCTCAACAGCTTCATCTACCTGTAATGCCACCTTCAAAGAGGTTGCAGTACAATTTGGGATTTTTACCACCAGATTGCCTTGCATCGAATGTTATTACTGACAAATTGTTTCACTGTCACTTTTTTCTCTCCTATAGAATTTTGTAGGTTTATATTGGTTCAAATACAACCAACATAAACCTACAAAATTAAAAAAAAAAGTTTCTGGCTGAATATAACAACAACTTGCATTTATATCACACCCCTCATGCAGGATAGTGTCCCAGAGCACTTGACAGTGGTGGAGCCTGACGCAAAGTTGGGAGAGGTGACTGTAAGCACGGTTGGAGAGGAAGGTCTTCAGGCGCCACCTGAAGATTGGGAAGGAGGGGGTAAGGTGGAGGGATTGAGGGAGTGTTCCAGAGTTTCAGGGCATAGTGGCTGAAAGTGCAGTAGGCTGGAGCCAGTCGAGCGGGCAGTTGATAATTGCCTCTGAAGCGCTTTGACACATTTCGATGTTACAGGTAATATATCAAATGCAACGATTATTATCAGAAGGAACCTCTGTCACAACACAAATTTTCCAGACTGAAGTGGATAGATATTTGTTAGCTAAGGGTATCAAGGGATATGGGGCAAGGGCGGGTAATTGGAGTTGAGGTACAGATCAACCATGATCTTATAGAATGGCAGAACATATATTGTAGGTTCAAGGGTTCCAAACTGCATCCAGCACTGAAAATATTCTACATAATCTTAAATAGTGGAAAACTATATTGATCACTTACACGAATGCAATACTGTACAAGCTGTTATAACACCTACCATCGATCAGGAGGACACGTGAGTGTCTGTTCAGGCTGACGTGGTTTTTCACAATGCATGTATACATGCCACAGTCTACGAGTGTTGGATTTGTAATGATCAGTGTGCTGTTGTTAAATGTTACATTCAAATGGCTGTCACTGTATAGAGTTTCACCTTCTTTCGTCCAAGACATGTTATAAATCATTTTGTTGTTGAGAAGGCAACTCAACACAACAACATTGCCCACATAGCTGGGTTCCTTCAGTATGATTGGTATTGGCAGTTTTTCTATAGAAGAGATGGTACAATTGGTACAATTGCACTGCATGGAGAACGTGACCTCAAATTTAAAGAGAGAATAGCTCTCTTTGCAAAAACAAAAAGTACGAGACAGACTGGTGTCGGAATTTTTTTTAATTTCAGTTGATTTTACTTTGGGACAAACTGATTATCCATCCAATGTTCCTAAGATATTATCCCAACACAATTCCAACTGTTAAAAATAAAAGAAATGTTTTCTTTTTCTCATGTTGTACATGGTAAATGCAGGCTCCATGAGCCTATCACCCCTAGGCTCGCTGGCTCTGTTGACTTCCCATCCCCAAAGGGATAGAGTTCAAAATCCTTGTCCTTGCCTTCAAAGCCCTCCACAGTCTTACTCCTCCCTACCTCTGTGACCTGAACTCCATATTGTCCCATCCTCTCAGTGGACTCTGGCCTACTCCAAGTTCTCCATCCTGTCCGCCCCACCATTGGCAGTTGGGCCTTCAGCCTTTCTTTCTTTTCTTTCTTTGGAACTCCATCCACAGTCCCTTCTCCTCGCCCGTTTTCTTGCCTTCACCAAGCCCCATCTCAAGACTTTCTTTGTCAAGCGCACTTTCAGTCACCCTCCTATTCCTACCCTCCCTGTCCTCACCCATCCTGATCCCAATCCCTAGCTCATCCCCAGCACATCCTTGATAGTCCAACAACAACAAAATTACATTTGTATAGCACCTTTCACGTTGGGAGGTGTCCTAAAGCATTGGACAATCAGTGTTTCGGGCATGAGCTAGGGGGTCAGGATCAGGGAGGGTGGAGGGCAAGGTGGCAAAAGGCCCACCCGCCAATGGTGGGGTGAAATGAAGCAGGCCGGAGTCTGCAAGGAAGTTATTCTCTCTTTAAATTCCCAGGATTTGGGACGTCCTCCTGGCATGAAAGGCACTGTCTAAATGTAATTTGTTGCTATTATAAATAGCACTCACCTTCAATTATCAACTCTGTGTAGACCTCATTTATTTCAGTAACCTTGGTTTGAAGATCAAGCTTTTCTGATCTTTTACAATATAGACCACTGTCTTCTTTTTCTAATTGCTTCAATAGAAGAGATCCTTCACTTATATTTGCTCGATGCCTGTATAGATGATGCAGAGAAGCAGTCTCATAGCGAGTAACATAGCCTCCGATAATTATCTCACTTTCACGTGTTACATGTTTCCATTGCAGAAAATCAAGTGTGTTGAGAGTTGTGAGTGTGAACCCAGCAAATACAACTGAGGAGCCCAGTACACGATAAATCGGTTTTCTAAATTCAATGCTCTTCTTTTCATCTGAAGATTCTGCAAGAAATACAATACTACAAATATAATTTTTAGCTGTTATTCAATCAGCACAAAAAAGCAAGAAAAAAGTTCAGTTTCAAACAGCAAAGAATAACAGATTTATAATAATAGTTATAATTGCATTCGATATTGAGCCTTATCACGTCTTCGAGACGATCCAAAGTGCTATACTATAAAGTGAATTGACTGTATACTTTGTGAGTGAAATGCGGCAGCCAATTGCATATAGCTCAGTGGTTAGAACACTCGCTTTGCAAGCGAGAGACCTGAGTTCAATTCCAGGCAGAGGGCCAAACCTCGGGCAAGTTTCCTTACTCCACAGAGCCTAATAATGATCCCTCCAAAACCAAAAACAATAATAAATTGGTCATTTTCAATCTACGACTGTTTGTGGGACATTGCTGTGCGCAATTGGCTGCCGCGTTCGCCCACAAATATACAGTCAATTCACTTTACAGCATATTCTGTGAAGCGCTTTGGGACGTCCTCCCGACGTGAAAAGCGCTATATCAAATGCAAGGATTATTATTATTATAGCAGTGTCCCACAAACAGTCGTGGATTGAGTGACCAATTTATTATTTTTATTTTTTTGAAGGGATTATTACCCCGGAAAAGTGATCCACCAATCGACTAAGAATCGGGTTCCTAATTCCTGCTTGGTAAACAGAGTAATGTGGAGTAAGGAAACTTGCCCAACATTGCGCCCAGAAATCGAACCCTGGTTCTCTCGCTTGAGGGGCAAGTGCTCTAATCACTTAGCTACAGAACTGCACTAGGAGGGTGACCGAAGGAGCGGTCTCAAAGGAATGCAGAACAGTTTTTAGGATTCAGATGTGGCCACTTTATCATGGCAGGAAATCCACCTGCCTGACACCTCAATACTGTAATGAATTCCAGGGACAGTACCATTGACTCTCCCGTTATAGCAGTCGATTAATCTGACCTTTAGATGGTGCAACTTCATCCGTTCCATCTCGTTTTCTTGGTTGAAAATTCATTCTACTGTCATTCATTTCCAAATGCTCCAACAGGAGAGAACTGTAACTCGAAGGGTGTATTACATGGCTCCGGAGATTCTTAAAATGGGATGTACCCACTTCATATTCCAAAAACGGTGACATCTCATCATACGTGGGATAGTTCCATGAGTTCAGCTCACTGCTTTGATTGTTGTTTTCAGAAAACTGAGGGTGAAGAACAGAGTACTGTTCGAGACCAGATTCATATTTCTTCTGGTGACCTGCAAGAAAAAATTGGTTAGTTTTAACAACAACTTGAAATTATATAACGCCCTGCAAGCCAGGAAGTGGCCCAGAGTGCTTGATTGTGACTGAATTTTGGGATACGGTGGCTCATAACACAGCCACTGAAGGTTGAATGGAGGGCACAGTTTTTGCGCAATACCTAGGAAGAAACACTCTAAAAACAAAATGTTGATAAAATGTGCCTGGCCTGCTTTCCGTTTCTGAACTGAATGCATGATTATATGCCCATCCCGCCACCCTCCCACCCCATTATTGATCCTCTCACTTGTCTACAAATCCTTTCACGCCCTGGCACCCTCCAGCCTCTGCGACCTGCTTTCTCCCCACTCCACAATCACTGCCTCCACTCCGCTGGACTCCTACTTAACCCTCATCCCCTCTGATCCACCATTGGCAGCCGCGGTTTTAGACACTCTGCCATGAAGCTTTGGAACGTTGTCCCGCAATCCCTCCGCCTTGCCCTTCCTTCTCTCCCCCCAATCCCTCCTCATTGCCCCCTCCACGACTGTAGATGAGTCATCTCCCCCCCAGCTTGGTGTCAGGCTCCACCACTGTTAAGCACTTTGAGACACACAAATATACAGACAATTTGCTTTAGTCTATTCTGTGAAGCACTTTGAGCGCTCTATCAAATGCAAGGATTATTATTATTATTATACCGTAAAGTGAATTGACTGTACATTTTGTGGGGAAGGAAGACACGTGGACAAAACTTGATGGATTTACGAATTTGGTCCATTTTAATCTGACCCCCACCAGCCCCCACCCCTCGCTCACCCCGATTGTGGCTGTGCTGTAGTTTTGCTGTAGCTGTGGCTGTAGTTGTGCTGTAGCTGTGCTGTAGTTGTGCTGTGGCTGTGCTGTAGTTGTGCTGTGGCTGTGGCTGTAGTTGTGCTGTAGCTGCGCTGTAGTTGTGCTGTAGCTGTAGATGTGCTGTGACTGTGCTGTAGTTGTGCTGTGGCTGTGCTGTAGTTGTGCTGTGGCTGTGCTGTAGTTTTGCTGTAGCTGTGGCTGCAGTTGTGCTGTGGCTGTGGTGTAGTTGTGCTGTAGCTGTAGATGTGCTGTGACTGTGCTGTAGTTGTGCTGTGGCTGTGCTGTAGCTGTGCTGTAGTTGTAGCTGTGCTGTAGCTGTGCAGTGGCTGTGCTGTAGTTGTGCTGCGGCTGTACTTGTGCTGCAGCAGTGGCTGTGCTGTAGTTGTGCTGTGGCTGTGCCGCTTACCCTGAGGCGCCAGGAGGAGCAGGAGAGCGGCTGTGAGCAACATTCCCGCTGCCTGACTCCAGGGCGAGGGACAAGTCACAAGATGGCGCCCAACGGCAACTCCGCCCTTTTAACGGCCACAGTTCAAAACGAAAGACAAACAAAGCGGCGACTGGCGCCGCTGTCCGGCTCTCTGGCCCCCGCCCCGCCCCGCCCGGGGGCCGCTCGCTCGGTAACGCCGACTCCGCCCGTTCCGCCGCCTTCAGTTCGGCTCCGAAGCCGCTTCTCCTTCGCCTCTGACAACGGTGTCAGTTTGTCCGCCTCCCGTCCCCCCCCGCGCTCACTCACTCACTGCGCAGGCGCCGCACCTCCCGTCCCCGCGCTCACTCACTCACTGCGCAGGCGCCGCACCGCCCGTCCCCGCGCTCACTCACTGCGCCGGCGCCGCACCTCCCGTCCCCCGCGCTCACTCACTGCGCAGGCGCCGCACCGACCCGTCCTGGAGCTCACTGCGCAGGCGCCGCGCCTCATGTGGGCGTGGCCTTGCTGCTCCGGGCTGTGAGGCTGGAGGTCAGTGTGAGAGTGCAATGAACCCGTTTCCCCTTAAACAGTCATGAACACAGGACACCGGACTCACAAACCACAGGTGTCCACACACAGCAAATCCTCTGTCACAGAGCACACACACCGTACGGTTAACATTTCACTTTATTGAACAGAATAAAGCCGCAGCGATGTGGGATTGTTAACAGATGGGACAAATCACGTTTGGGATCCAATAACACTTTCACTTTTTTTTTAAAAAAAACTCATTTTGATATCTGGTTAAAAAAATACTTTGCCCGGATACATTACAGCTCTCGCAACAAATGCAACCATCCTTGACTTCAGCAAATATATGGATAGCGAAGAGATTTTACATTTTTTTGTCCATACGTGTGTGCACACACGTTACATAGCAATATACAGGATATATACATGTACAGTCCTCTGACAAATGACATACAACATCTCGGAGCTGTGCATTACATTACACAGTCATTGATAAAGTTCATTTGTTCAAGAAAGGCCAAGTTCCTTGCCATTCCCTGCCCGCTGCTCCATAATTGGCAGCACAGAGCAATTCTCTGTGCATTTTTGGCAAAACGGGGAAATATGCTATCCATCTCCATCTCTATCTGTGTGTGGGGGGGGTGGGGGGGGGGGGCAGGACAACCAACATTCTCTTGTGATGGTTGCATTGTCCAAGGTGACGCGTATGAAACAGAGTTGAAGATGTGCTAACAAGATTTACCAGATTTACCAGATGATATCAGGGATGAGGGACTTCGGTGATGTGGAGAACAGAGAGGCTGAGATTATTCTCCTCAAAGCAGAGAGGTTAAAGGGAGATTTAATAGAGGTGTTCACAATTATGAGGGGTTTTGATAAGCGTAAACTGTGAGAAACTGTTCCCTATGGCAGGTAACCAAAGGACACAGATTTAAGATAATTCGCAAAAGAAACAAGAGGTGAGGATTTTTTTTTAAACTCAGAGAGTTGTTACAATCTGGAATGCACTGCCTGAACGGATGGTGGAAGCAGATTTGATAGTAGCTTTCAAATGGAAATATGGAATTGGATACGTACTTGAAAAGGAAAAAGGGTAAGAGCGGGGGAGTGGGACTCGTGGGATAGCTCTTTCAAAGAGTCTGCACAGGCATCAGCATTCTTTTCAGGAGCTTATTTAAATAAAATAGTTCATTAAATTATAGTCATTCATCTTTAAGTTGTTACACATTGTAAATGCAAGGCTGAATGTTGAATTGATATATTCTTCCATTCTCAAAACCCCCCCAACCACCCCCTCCCCACCCAAAAAAGAGCGTGATTATATCTATTGCACTTCATCATATGCATTGATGAATCTTCACAGGATTCTTCATTTCCTGAATTTTTTGATGGGATGCTTCCATTTCTGCACTGCAAATGAAATCAACAGACACTTGGTAAGCCCCCAACAGACATAATTGGAAGAATACCCATTTTAGATAATAATAATCCTTGCATTTTGTATAGCGTACTTCACGTCGGGAGGATGTCTCAAAACACTTCACAGTATTTGATATCAAGTGTAGGGACTGTATATTTTGTAAGCAAAATGACACTATGCTGTGCTGGAAAGCTAGCCAGCAATTGACTAACAAGCTGGTTCCTACTTACTGCTAGGTAAGTAGAGGCGTGGGGAGTAAGGAAACTTGCCTAAGGTTTCACCCCACCCTGACTTAGACATTAGAACTGAGGAAGCATCTCTTCACTCAGAGCGTTGTGAAGACATGGAACTCTCCCCGAAACGCTGTAAATGTAGCTGCATAATTATTACTTACTGAACTTTCCGAAAAAGAGAAAGAATATTCCAACAGCAACCAAATATACCACCACAGCAACAGTGACAAATACTGCCAGCTCTCCAATAGGAACATTACATGCCATCACTGCAGGTAGAAGTAGGAGCGTCTGAATTACTTACAGTTTGGTATAGAGAGCAAGTAACAAATGCAAATCAAGAAAATAATAGAGGGCAAAGAGGGAATACCTAAATTATAATGCTAACAATAATAATACTTGCCTTTTATCACGTCGGTGAGATGTCTCAAAGCGCTTTATAGAGTATACTGTAAAGTGGATTGACTCTGTTTTGTGGATGAAATGCAGCAGCCAATTGTGTACAGCAGTGTGCCACAAACAGTCATGGATTGAGTGACTACATTTTTTTGAGGGATTATTACCCCCGGAAAGCAATTCACCAATCGACTAACAACCGGGTTTGTACTTAATGCTAGATAACCAGAGGCATGTGGAGTAAGCAAACTTGCCTAAGGTTTGGTCCTGCTCAGGAATCAAACGCAGGTACTCAATTGTGAGGCAGACACACGTACACACACACACACACACACACAAACACACATAGATACACAAACGCATTTATTGGAAAACACTCACCATTTTGTTTGGCTTGCTGAATTGGTATAGATGAAATTATTATAGCTAATACTCCACATCCAAGAATAACCATGCGGTGCCCTGTTAGTAAAAGAAACAAATCTGAGGACATAGGGAAACTGTCACAGATGGTTGACTGAATTGTGTTGCTAACTCAGCTTCAAGGGCACCCTGCTTATTCCACCACGCCCACCACAACAACAACAACTTGTGGAGTCCTGTAGCTCAGTGGTTAGAGCACTCACTTTGCAAGCGAGAGACCTGAGTTCGCTTCCAGGCAGAGGGCCAAACCTTGGGCAAGTTTCCTTACTCCACACAGAGCCTAATAATAATCCCTCCAAAACCAAAAACAATAATAAATTGGTCATTTTCAATCTACGACTGTTTGTGGGACATTGCTGTGTGCAATTGGCTGCCGCGTTCGCCCACAAATATACAGTCAATTCACTTTACAGTGTGTTCTGTGAAGCGCTTTGGGATGTCCTCCCGACGTGAAAAGCGCTATATCAAATGCAAGGATTATTATTATTATTATAACAACTTGGATTTATATAGCGCCCTCCAAGTCGGACAGCGTCTCAGAGCCCTTCACAATGACGGATCCCAGGGCCCAGGGGGAGGGGGAAGAAGGTGACCAAAGGCGCGGTCGAAAAGAAAAATCTTTAGCTGAGAAATGAAAATAAGAGAGGGGGTGAGGCGAAGTGAGTGAGGAAGGAAGTTCCAGAGCCTCGGGGTGTAGTGGCTGAAGGAACGGCCACCGATAGTGGAGCAGAGGATTCGGGGGACAAGGAGGAGACCAGACCCGGTGGAGCGAGGGCAACGGGCACTGTTGTGATGAGAGAGGAGGTCAGAGAGGTTGGGACGTGCAGAGGAGTGGAGGGATTTGAAGACAAGAGTGAGGATCTTGAAATCGATCCTCTGTGGAATAGGCAGCCAGTGCAGTCTGGCAAAGAGTGGGGTAATCGGGGAGCGGAGTTTGGTGCGGGTAAGAATGCGGGCAACAGAGTTTTGAATTACCTGGATTTTATGAATGGTAGTGCAGGGAAGACCGGCGAGGAGGGCAGTTGAATAGTCCAGCCGAGAGGTGACAAAGGCATGGACAAGGGTTTCAGCAGCTTTTGGGGTGAGATATTAGCGGAGACGGATAATGCGTCGGAGGTGGAAGAAAGCGGTGCTGGTGAGGGACCGGATGTGGGGGGGAGGAAGGATAATTGAGGGTCGAACCTGACGCCCACCCCCTCCAAGAATGTCAGCCATGCTTAAGAGTCTCCAAACCAAGCTGAGAATTCCATGCATCCCACCTACGCACGGTAATCCCAGAGACAGATTGTTCAAATGGAATGCATACTCTCTGCCTAATAAATTATTAGGCGCAGGTTGGCAACAACCCAGGCTTGGGGACCCCAGAGTATGCTTTGGGGTAAATGCTGGAGTCTAACCAGCTAAAACAGCATAGCTTGCCTTTGATATTGCTGTCCGGCAAGCTTCCCCCTGCTTGTCCAGCTAACCCTACCCATTAGGGCTTTGCCTTGCAGGGTTAACAGGAGCTGAGTGGGAGGATTTCCTGCCCCCAGTGACTGGTCTGCCCTTCCAAACCGGCTGTGCTGTCATCAGCAACGACCTGGAGTCAACATACAAAATTCAAGAGGCCTTTAAGATATGTCATATCGACATCAGAATGTGTCAGGAATTCATTCCTGTTCCCACGGTATATAAATATGTATATGGTGAACCAAATCCATGACATATCAAAAACAGAAATCGCTGGGAATACTCAGCAGGTCAGGCAGCAAGGAAAGTGAGTCAACCTTTCGAGTCCATGACCCTTCGTCAGCACTGGAGGTTGCTTGACATGTCATGTCTGAAACTATACATTACATACCAAGAAAGTATTTTCCAGCAGAAATCTATCTAATTTGTTCTTGATAACAAACAACACTTTATTTGTACTCAATTAGCAACTATCAGAAAAGATTCCTCTAGAACAGGAATTACACATGGAGAGGTATCTTTAGCCTATGGGGAGACAAAAAACAGTTAACAAAATCAACACTAACAATTACTATTTTAACTTACTCTTGTGTAACAAAAAGGACCTTGTTAGTTCAGTTTCAGGACGCAGGAAGAAGAAGCCAGTATAGATCATTATTCCAACAGCCGTGAGACAGCCAAAACCAGAGATAATTCTGTATTCAAACGAAAATCCTAGAAAAGGGACATATTGAAGAATGCGGTGAATGGAGAATGTGAAACAACAACAAATCACATTTACAGAGCGCCCTTCATGTTGGGAGTACGTCCCAAGGGGCTGAACAGTCAGAGTTTGCACCCAAGCTGGGGGTTGGTATCA